GGGGGGGGGGCGGGGCAGCTGGCAGTGCCGTAGCAGACCTGGGGGAGGCGGAGGTGTGTTTACTGCCCCTTCAAAGCGTCTGGCCTGGGTGGGTTTGCTCGTGGAGCCGCTTGACCGTCACCCAGCCCCCACCCCTCTCATCTCCCCTGCCCTAAAATCCCCCCCCCCAGAAAACCAGCTGTCTTCAGCTGGGGTGCTGAACTTCTTCCTGTACAAAAACAGTGGCCTGCACCCTGCTTTACAGTCCTGCTTGTTTGTCTTTTTGTGCTTTAAAGTTGCTTCACATTAAATATATGAACAAAGAGCAGTCTGATTGCACACTTTGAGTTTCATCGTGCCCTCCTTCACACTGTGGTTCTGTGATCTCCTGGTTTCTCCCATATCTGCCTCTGAATCCCTGTCCTTTCCACCCTCAGGAGCCTGCAGACCCTGTAATGACAGAGAGATCCTGATGGCCGTCTGCACCAGTGATTTTGGTAGGTTCCTTGCACGACTGTCTGCTCCATTTGCCCCTGTTGTGTGATCTGTAGGTTCCGTATCGTGAGTCGCGTCGCCCATCCATCCACCCATCGGTTATCCAGTGTCGGGTTGTGCCGAACCTGGAGCAAGCACAGCACAGCACAGCACAGCACAGCACAGGGATCACCCTGGAAGGGCCAGCCCACTGCTCATTATATATGCACATAATTACATCCATTTATGAAGTGAACTACATGGCCCTATTAGTTTACGCTCACGCTGCCTGTTTCACAGCGGCGCGTGACGCTAATTCAGCAACGGCAACAAAAGCAGGTCTGTTTTGGAAAGACGGCCTGGACTAAGGCGTGTAACGCAACACTCCAGAGTGGTGAAGGGCAGCGTTGAGAAGGAGAGGAGGACTCTCACTCAATGCCATTGATTCCCTGCCCCCTTATGTAAATAAGTGTTTGAGGTGAAACTGCCATATCCTGTCCGTATTCCCCACCTCAGGCCACCCACCTCAAACTAGAGTCCTGAAATAGCCTGAAAGCCAGCAACACAGGCGGAAGTTTCTGGAAGTATTAGTTTCTTCAATCCATTCTTCTTGTGGAACGCGTCCCTACGTCCCAGTTCTTTTTTCCATGACCGCAGGTGCTCGCGTTACTTGATACACTGAGAATTTGGTTTTTAAATGATTCCTCTTTGGGTCACCAGTGAAAAGATTCAGTATAATTAATTGTATATTCTTACCTGAGGTTTTGTTGTGAGTTGCTCGACCCCCCCCCCCCCCCCTTGTCTCTGTTTTTCTCTTGCTGTTCCAGGTTGCATAACATCAAAATTGTTGCTATTTTGGTTCGGTATAAGTGATGTGGTTAGATAGATTTGTGGATGGAATACGTATATAGCCAATTAGATGGCTGGATATGCATAAAGATAACTGGATCTTGGTGTATCTAGACACATAGTTGCATATAGGTATAGCTAGCTGACTGTAGATACAGCTCGTTACTAGACAACAAGTAGAACACCTTTGGAAAACAAGTCTTTTTTTTCCTTTTTTCAAATTCAGTTGTCCGGGGAAATATCCATTCGGTGGTGGATGAGAAGGACCTCTGGGTGTCGGTCATCAAGGTCAGCGCCACCCGGGTGTACCGACAGAAGTACGCCCTCTTCTCCGGCGGCGGCCGTCTCACTAAGTGGGGCGAGATCCGGACGCTGCTGCAGTGTGGCGTTCGGCCCGGAGCCGGCAGCTTCCTCTTCACGGGCCGTGTCCATTTTGGTGAGGCGTGGCTGGGCTGCGCGCCACGATACAAGGACTTCCTGAGAGCCTACGAGGCGGCGAAGGAGAGCCGGCAGATTCCCTGCGAGTTGTCGTCAGACTGAGGGCCAAGGTATCCCTCCAGAACTACCAGAGCCGAAGCGGGTCTGCTCCAAAGCCACGTGGGGGAGGTAGCGGCCTGCCCCCACCCCATCAGCTGGGGAACTGTTGCTCTCCTAGGCTCAACTAGAGAGGAGCTCATGGAATCATCACCGAAGAAAACTGATGCATCTTCAAAGCAAAATAAGCAAGTGCTTTGGTGCAGAAGAGTGCTTCCTGGAGATTTTCAGTTCCTTGGGTGGGGTAGGGGGTAGGGGTACTATTACTCTTGAGCCCAAAGACATTTTAAGAACTTTCTGGATGAAGAGCCATGAAGTTCTGGGTCACCTAGATGAGGTATCAGTCACGGATATAGGAAGGAGCACCTTTTTGTATTTTCTGGACAACAGTTCTGTTCTTAAAGCTTGAGAACAACAACAGGACATCTACAGGAGTCACTGATCCACCATAGATTTTTTTTGATGTCCAAAATACTCAGGAAGTTAATGACTTTGGTAGGTTAATCATACCACCACTTGATCCACCATAAACGTCACAGGGTGTGTTTGTTGGCTTCCGCACTCATGTGCCCACCTACCAAAGCCCCGAAATGTGAGCAGAGATCATGAAGAACTGGACTCGTCTTGCAGAAATTCCCCGTCTTTTGTGTCTGCTTGTAAATTTGAGTCGTGATAGCCTGTCCTGTCTAAATATGGGGTCCGTCATTGTGTGAAGAGCTAGCCCTCCTCCCTCTAGGTGTGTCCTCTTCTTGAGGGTCTGTGGGGGGGGGGCATGATGTTTGAGGTGTTTGCACTGTCAAGGGAATGGGGATTTGGCGAGGGTGCCTGTTGCCAGCTTTGAACCAGGAAACCAAAACTAAAGCAGATTATATGTAGTCTAGAAGATATGATCAGAAGTTAATATATAATTGTAACACCAACTGCCACTGTGGTTTAGGAATTTGCGAGGCAAAATTGGTGTAGGGCCTGCAGATTGGTGTAGGGCCTGCAGATTGGTGTAGGGCCTGCAGATTGGTGTAGGGCCTGCAGAGTGGTGTAGGGCCTGCAGATTGGTGTAGGGCCTGCAGATTGGTGTAGGGCCTGCAGAGTGGTGTAGGGCCTGCAGATTGGTGTAGGGCCTGCAGAGTGGTGTGCATAACTGCTCAGGCTTTTACCGTTTCACCTTTCAGTTGTACATTGGCTTCCCGGTGTAAACTGGGCTTTTCATCTTGCAAAAGCTGTAACAGAAACGGTTGTGATTTTTTTTATCCCCCCCCCCCCCCCCCCCCAAGCCAAGTGTCCACTGTTCCCTCGCATGTATGTAAACTACCCACATTTTGTTTTGTTTCTGTGCTGTCATCTTGGTTGCTTTGTGTGTGTGTGTCTGTGAGTGTCTTTTGGATTCTAAAATAATTTAATTTTCTTTTTTAAAGTCCTGTTGATTACATTCAAGCACTTCCCTGCATCAGTGTTATTGGCTTTTAGGTTCGTCTTGAAGAGTGAGCAGCACAGACTGCGTTTGGTTACTGTGATGTTTATCGCCTTTGTTGTTACGATACATGAATCGTCCTTTTACGTCTCGCCTGAAATCGAGGTGTAATCATGAGGAGCTGATTAAAATAATAATAAGTCTGCTGGGGGGTGGGGTGGGGGGGGAGCTGGGCTAGAGTTTGGCCTGAAGCACCAGCAAACTAGGGACATGTATGGGTTGCTATAACATGACCAGACTGTGTAGCTGGATCTGCTTACAGTGAGGCAGGACTTTCTGTCAAAGTTGTGAGCGTTCAGTATGCAGATTTACTCCAAAATATGCCATATAATGCAATACAGTTGGGGCATAGCGTGGGAGAAATGTTTGTTATAGCAGAATTTACACTCAGTGGCTTCTTCACTAGGTGCTCCTACCCAGTACTGGTTAGGAGCCACTTTTGCCCCCAGAACTGCTTCAAGGGTAGATGAGTTGTGTGTTCAGAGAAGCCTTTCTGCACACCACTGTTGTACTGAGCTGTTATTTTTGCACTTGTGGCCTTCCTGTTAGCTTTAACGAGTCTGGCCATTCTCCCCTGACCATGCTCATTAACACGGTGTTTGCTCACAGAACTGCTGGAGTTTTTTTTTTTTTTTTTTTTTTTGGTTTATTGCATCATTATCTGTGTTGAAATCCCAGGAAGGTGATTATTTCTGAGATGCTGGAGCCACCGCATTCAAAATCGCTTAGATCACGCAACTTGGCGACTGTGATAGTTGGACAAAGAGCCACATGATTGGCTGCGTGGGAGAGCGGCAAAGAGCCACATGATTGGCTGCGTGGGAGAGCGGCCCGTTTCCATTAACAAGCAGGGGGACCTACTAAGCTGGCCACTGAGTGTATATTATATGCACTAAATTTTTGAAGGAATGGGATATACCAAATTTAGGAGGTATTTTATCATTTTTGAAAGCTCAATACTGCCATTTTACTGTGTTTTAATGTTTTTATAGTATAAATGTTTTGTTTTAATCACTGTTTTAAATGAAATATGTTTAATGGTGTGTAAAATAACATAGGAGTTGTGCAAAAAAAAGCAGTTCATGCAGGAAAAGAAGTAAAAAGTGACATTATTCAACTTGTAAAGTGTTTGTACTTGACGTGTCTTATAAAAGATTTATACAAGACCTTCTTGTCTCTGTTTTTTTTCCGCCTTAGTTACCGTCTTTGGACTGTTTGTATTGTGTTATCTTTAAATCTCAGTTAAGACGTTAAACACGGGATTCAGATATACCTCAGTAAGTGGTGGCTGTGTAGAAATCCTTAGATGAAATAACCAAAATCAGGCTTTTTAATCTGCCTTCCTCCAGAAGCTCAAGACTGCACGGCAATAAAAAAAAAAAAACTTCAATGTGCAATTAAATTTTGCTGTAAGCAAATAGCTTTAAGAATTTACCCCCCCCCCCCCCCCGAGGCTCATTTTCAGTAAATAAATCCATGGTAAGCATCTAAAATTAGCTTCCAGTGTGGAAAGGGGATCTTCCTTGAGATTCATCTGTGGTTCAACAGTATTTCCATCTGTCATACCTAAAAATGGGGCTTATAAACAATACAGCCGCGCCCCTTCCCGGCCTGTTTGGGTGGGAGCTGATGGTCAGCTGCCCGGTCGAGCCCCTTGCCTGCTCCTGACATAATCTGCTGTGGAATGAGGAGTGAGAATGCGGCTGTGCGTGTGCGAGAGCGTGAGAATCGGCCGTGCCGGAGAGCTGCTCCCCGGAGGCCATGGTGCGAGCATAAAGGAGATAAAGCGGCATCGCTGAGACTCGGCCCGTCTTTTCGTTTCAGGAAGTAATAAATTCCCATTAAAGGACACGGTTGCGGCTGTTAGGGGGGAGACGGTGACACAGTGGCCCCGCCGGCCGCTCGCCCGCACCGCTGCCATTCACAGATCCATGGTCACACACGGATAAAGGGCCTCGGGGGGGGAAAGCTGGCCCAGCTCCAGCTCACAATCCCCCTCCCCTGAGAGCCCAGACATAAGCATGTGCCCCCTTTCAGGGGCACGTCAACAGCGCTGGGGATCTATGGGCGCCACGGCGCCCCCCGCAGGCCAGCACTTGGCGGACACTCGAAAGCAGCGCTGGCTTCTGAAAATGATTTATGGAACCAGAAATCAAATTCCCTTCTTTTGACCCCCCCTCCAGATCCACCAGCTTATTCTTCATGTCCTCAAATTGGATTGTGAAAGACTTTTGAAATACATGAAGACACATTATATATCACCTTGACCCCATATGTGTGTCTTCATGTCCCTGTAGAGTGTGTGTGTGTGGGTGTGTGTGTGTGTGGGTGTGTGAGCTCCAGGCCAAGGTACTCTGAGGTGATGACAAAAACAGGAAGCCACTGGGGGGGTGGGGGACTGTGGGGGTGGGGTATGAAGGTTTACTGGGAGAGGTGTGGACTTCCGTTAGCCCCAGTGGGAGATGGGGGGGGTGGATGGAGTTTGGAGGGCCAGGGGGTCAGAGCTCTTCAGATCACTAAGTGCACACCCAAAAATACAAGCACTTTCAATCGTCACCCTTCAGCGCTGTGTTTATGCGGCACTCTGAGGAGCATCCGGCCGTTCGTAGCCGTGCAGAAATTAACGCCGGTGCATCGTGGGTCTCCGCGAGTTAGGACTCTGTGCCTGTGATCGGCAGGTGACCAGTTCAAATCCCAGGGTTTGTGGAGTGATGTCACCATTGGACCCATGAGCAAGGCCCTTAACCCCCAGATACTCCAGGGGCTGGTTGACCCTGTTTCCTCCAAAAATATGTATGTTGCTCTGGATAAAAGTATCTGTTAAGTACGATAAGTGTAAACTCCAGAAAACAGATGAGGAACAAATGTGTTTGATCCCTTTGGGATGAAGAAATTTATGGTTCTGTTTGTGATCTGCTTCTCTTTCATACTGGGCCAGGAGAGAGCTTCCCGCCAGCGTGTTCCTGAGCGGACAGGCAGGTATTGGGTAACGTGCGTGTTCGTCTGGCCCTGCGACACGCTTCCCTGTCTCCTGCCTGTGCCTGTGAGTCCGTCCCCCCCCCCAACTGACCCCTGTGGCCTTTTGCCTCTTTGGATAAACAAGATAAGGCCGTGCCTCATAGGGGGGCGGGGGGAGTTGGGGGGAGGAAGAGGATTGGGGGGGTGGGGGTGGATCTCTGTGTTTTTTTTTTTTTTAATGATAGCACTAACAATCTGTATAAGGAGCATGTGGAACGTTTCCCCAGCAGTGTTTTTATTACTTTCATCACTCTCCACTGGATTCCAGATTTAAACTGGAAAAAAAAACATCCTGAGACGTTTACCTGGTTATGAAAGACAATCAGGAAATTAAATTAAAAAAAACCTACCTCTAACCTAAAAATAGTAGCTTTGATATGACTGGAATGAGCCTTTGAAGTACTCAGTTTTCAATGAGCATAGAGATCGGTTAGTCTGTCCCTTGGAAACTCAGTAGCTGGTATTTTACATTTGCATTCATTCAAAGGCTTGAATGAAAACAAAACAGTCGGGTGTCAGCGTGATTGATTTGGTCAATTAGCGGGAACAGGAATGTGATGATTAGTGCATAAAATGAGGTTCTCTTGGTTCTCAGTGCCTTTAATCAGGCTTTTTTTTTTCTTTTACTAAAAATAAAACTAAATATGTTGGAGGAAATAACAATAAAAGATGTTTCCCATAATGAAGATGAAATGAGTAGAATGAACTAGTTTGTTTTCTAGCCAAAGTGCTCACAGAACACATTTCCATACATTTATTTGTTTGTTTTTACTGTCAGATGTTTAAACAGAGGATGGGATCTGTGTTACAGTCTTACCTTTGCTCCACCGCATCCTGGGTCTTGCAGGAGAGGCTGTATGGTTCAGCTGTATTGGTGCCTGTGGACGCCTGCCTCAGTCAGACATATGGCGTGTTTACAGAATCACCCCTGACAACATATTGGCTCAGGGAGCATATCCAAGCCGGCGTCTTTGTTTGCCATGACTTCTGCGCTGAAACGCATCCCGGCGACACACAAAAGCAGCATCCACTGCCGGGTCTAATAACTTGGCTGTGAGGATGGATGACCTTATCGCTCGGATCACTGCTAGGCCAGAACATTCCAGAACAAGGCTGACTCCAGAGAACGGGGCTCAGAAGAGGCTGGGGGTGGGGTAGGGACTGACATGGGAGGTGGGGGCCGAGCTGTTGCCGTGCGGGGAGCACGTTTATGGGGATGTGTTATCCCTCTAAAGAGCTGGGGTGAGAGTGCTGGTGCACTTTTGTCCTTGGAGAGGCTGCAGATGGCTGTAATCCTCCTCAGAAAGCGGAGAGAGAATCATTCACTGTGGCATGACGGTGCTGGTGCACTGGGGGTTGGGGGCAGGGGTGGTGATAAAGGACTTGAATGAAGATGACTGGGGTGCTGATTTTGGGGGTCAGGGGTCTTGATTTGCAGAAGAGGGCAGCTCTTGCTTCCCGCCAAAAATGGGGAACGCCTAAATCCAGCAGAAGTCCCCTTATCCTCTGCGATTGGCTGCCAATTCCAGGATCACACGGGTTCCTGTTGGAAATTTATGGATCACTCCCCCCCACCCCAGTACGAAAGAACTTGCTGGGACTTGTTTGATCTGACATCAAGGCCAAGGGTGCTGCATAGCCACTCCTTCTATGTGGATCGGGCTGTCCTGAGATGTGGACAGCAGTCAGCGCCAAACAGGGCAATCATGTAATGACATGCTAACAAATTAGCAACATGCTAATGCCCCCATAATTTCATAAAAGTGTCATTTGTGGGGTGTCATTCAAACAAAGCTTGACTAAATCCCATTTTAAAGAGTGATATCAAAAAGAATAAAAATATTACTGTAAATATGCCAAAGTTAACCAAAAGACCAGCTTTCATCTGAAGTCTATGGGCTTTGTGAGTAATGTCGACAGGAAGGTGAAACATTTTTCCCACAACAGCAGCTGTGGGTCGACTACTGCAGACAAACATGGAACTGATTGGAGCTGTATGGATTGTAGCTATGTGGATTCCAGATGGGCAGGACACCGACCAGCTTCCTTATGGCAACATTAATTAATTCACAAGAAACACGAATGATAGTTTTCATAGCTGCGGTACCCAGAAGTAACAAAATAACATTCTCAGCTTCCGTAACTTTTAGCTGCTGCAGGAAGGCCTGTGTTCATTTAACACTCTCCACTGGGCCACTTTCTTCGTTTTTCCATGGATCAAATTACCGGGTGGACGAGAGGCTCCCGTGGAGGACAGCCAGGTCACTTTCTGCTTTAATGCAAGTCGGCCAATTAAAAGAGCCGCTTCAATGTTTTCTCAGGCATAGAGTTTCAAGTTTCTCTGCCCGGAGTAGAAGGACACCTCCCGGGTGGAGAGTGATCCTTTCCAGTTATTCAAAGTCCTTTGAGGGTTGTTCTAACCTTTGCCTTTAAGTCTGCCATTTCTGGACTCTTCCTCAGTCTGTGTCATGAATGATGGTTTTGGGCTCCTTACATACATTCTAGCGCTTTCTTAACCTGGAAGTATCCTAAACAGGGACTAAAACTGTGTTCTGCTCTACAGCCGCTTTCTTCCTCTCACTCTCTCTCTCATTCTCTCCCTCTCTCTGTCTCTCTCAGCATGAAAGTGCTGACTTCAGTCTCTCAGACCTCATTGTGAAAGCCTCCTCGCCCAACTCTCCATGGAAATGAGTCAGTGTGGAGGCTGTGACAGAGGGGGGCTGGGGGGGGGGCTTGGGGAAGGTCTTCAGTAGCCTATGGCTGCAGGCTGTGACCAGCATAAACTGTGCTAAAGTGAGACTGTGTTTAATGTAAAGCATATTTTCAGTAATGCTATAGTAAATAAAGGATAATAATAGAAAGGAATCTGCAGGAAAGTGTGGGAAAATGTAGGTCTGAGAGTGGATACAATATGCGCATCACTTGTCTTCATGTGGTATAAATTTAAAATTTTGATTGCGTATGTGAGAAAGTATGCAGGTTTTTTTTTTTCCACTGGGGTAGTGTTTCCCTTCTGGCTGGGATCCTCGCCCGCCCGCAGCCCCCTCGGACGGCACCAGCTGTTTTGGGACGCGCTCTCCTGCTCCACCCGGCACAGGTGGCGGTCATGGCGGCCCAGGTGTGCACGACCGGGCTGATGACGTGCGGT